CAGCCCTCGTCTCAAGTGTTTGAACTCTTCGACAGTCTATTACTTATGGCCGACGGAAGGGTAGCTTTCATGGGGTCCATCGGTACTGCAAATATAAATTAATTGTTATAATAACATAATTATAATTTCTAAATGTATTGCACTTTTAGGTGACGCCAAGAATTTCTTTTCAACGCAAGGATTAGTAAGACTTGAAATCCAGTTGAATTATTAATGAATACAAATTTAAAACTTTTATTTTATTTTTTCAAAAACAGTTTTGTCCAAAAAGCTACAATCCGTGCGATTATTATTTAAAGCAACTGGGTGAGACTTATATTTGTAAATAGCTGAATAGGAGTTAGTTTTTACATTTATTTGACGCCCACAACAGCCATAACACACACTAATTATTCGCAAACCAAACGCAAAGTGAATGTAATTTTTCTCATATTTTTGTGTCTTTTAAACAATTAATTTATTGAAAGTATTTAAAAATACAGCAAATTTGCGACAATTATCTCGAATCGAGTTATACTGATATCACTATCAATGCGAATGAAAACAACACTCGAGGAACGCCTGCAATAAATATACCGATTCTGGGGACGGGCTATAGGGCTGGCTATTGGCGACAATTTGTGACCCTATTGTGGCGCTCGTATATAACCCTAACCCGTAATCCCCAATTGCTACTAGACCGATTGGTTATGTATTTGGTAACTATTATTAGCATTGTAAAGTTTTGAACACTAATTTCCAATGGTTATCTATATGACAGATCACTGCATTTTGGTTGTGTATTATGTTTTACAATATTGGAAACGCCTACTCCGATGCGAGTAATATCATGGGTGCACTTATTACGCTTATCCAGGCCACTTGTATGCCACCCATATATTATGCTTCAGTGGTAATTATTTAAATATTATGCGGCGTTCACAAAGTACGTGCGCACGTTGAGAGTGGGATCCCGCCAATGTGTGTGCCATCATGTTAAATTAATAGGTACAATGGGCGTGTTGGGGTCATTTATTGCATTAAATTTGCTTACAAACTTTGTGGACGCCGTCCTAGGTGATTTTACCCATATATTTTCTTTATATATTGTAAGACATTAGTGGAGGAGATGCCACTGATGTATAGGGAGTACCACAACCGTACGTACGCTGTGTTACCATATTTTTTGTCGACCATTATTATCCAGGTTGGTGCAGTATACAAAACATCAATATCTGATTTTAGCTAGCTAATATTAATAAACATTAATTAGAAATTGTGATTATGAAAGTATAATAAAATTTCCAATTAAAATAGATTTTAACAAGTTAATACTAATATAATTAGAATATCATTTATGCATTAATACACAAAAAAAATATTACAATGCTAATTCAAATTTTTTATTTTTTAAACAGTTGACCGTGAATATATTAATAAATGTAATATATTTAGTGATTATTTATTTCACTATTGGTCTCTATCTTAGCCCGCTAGAATTTTTTATATTCCTGGGTGTTTCACTGCTATTAATGGCATCCGGCACAAATTTTGGTAATTATTTATTTGTAAAAAATGATTTTAAAATATCAATAATATATATATATTTATATCACTGTCATTGATTGGACTTAAATGTATAAATATGGATTAAGAAAGTGTTTTAATTTATACAATATGAGCACGTTCCTTAGGGTTGAGAACTATTTTCATTGGCTCAGAGGACAAATATTCAAAATTGAGCCTGACCATTAGGATATTGGGAAGACAAAAATTATAAAAATGTTAAATTATTAATATTGCTATATATTTTTACTTTTAGGGTTGAGAACTATTTTCATTGGCTCAGAGGACAAATATTCAAAATTGAGCCTGACCATTAGGATATTGGGAAGACAAAAATTATAAAAATGTTAAATTATTAATATTGCTATATATTTTTACTCCTAATAGCTACACAATAATTTAAGCCTAATTACAATTTTAATTCAATACACTAATTGTTGTCCTTATAGCAATTATTTCATAAATTGTTTAAAGAATGATTACAAACTCGCAGGTTATTTTTATGAATTTCGGAAAGTAATTAAACATTAAGTGAATATTTGCATTATTTTGACAATTATCTTGACATTGTCCTCCTGAGACCATCGGGAGGATTGTTTCTTGAGGTGCCAATTGGAGGAAAATCCTCCAAAAGGATGACGTTTGGCAACCCTAACATTCCCATATGAGACGGATTTATACGAAATAATGCCAATCGAATGACTGTTAATCGAAGCTAAAATATCGATAGTCATAAAAATCATACACAAAAAGATTACAGTCTAACAGTCACTTCGATTCTCATTAATTACTATAAACCGACACTGACCTATTAACTTTTTAAATGTTATTTTAAATAAAATAGTATACAAACATATTAATTATAAATAGTCAATATGATACTTTTGTAAAATAATTTTAAATTAAATTAATATTTTTTTTTTCTCAAAATAGGAATGCTACTATCATGTCTATTTAATGACATTGGTAGTGTTATGGCTATTGTTCCAGTGCTTGAGACATTGTTGAGTGTATTAAGTGGCTATTTTATTACCGTCAGGTATTTCAACTAGGA